TATCTGAAAATTTATTTCTGATATCAATATTATTTCAGATATCTAAAATGGCTTTCTTACTAATAACAATCACATTCATGATATCAGAAATTAGTAAAAATGTAATTATTGAGATCAAAAATGAACATTTTTACTAGTAGCAATTCAATTGTGGATATCAAGAATAGTCAATTCAACTAGTAACAGTTGAATTCTTGATATCAAAAATAAAGGTTTTTAGGTTTGTATTTCTGATATGTGAAATTGGAATTTCAACTATTAAGAAATCAATTCTTGATATCAACATTTGGTTTTGAATGGCAGAGCATTTCACTAGTGAAAATACAATTGTTGATATCAAGAATTCATGTCCTGGAAATGAATAAAAGCTAATGCGGCTTGCCATACATATTGTTGCATTAATATCTAAATCTAAAATATTTTGAAGTTACTTTTAAAGTGTATTCTCATGCAGGAGAAGCAACACAACACACAGTGAACACGGTTTTACCTTCCTCTTCGGTTTCCTCCACTACAGTGTGAACATAATAACTATTAGTAGCGAATACATTCAGAAGCATAATATTTGATCAGTCTTTGCATAATCAAGATGCTGAATCACGTTAACAAACAGATCATCTATAACCTTTGTCAGAACATTGAGATCCACCCAACAGCTTGTAAATGACATTGAGAAATAGACCACCAATGCAGTGGCCTATGATGCGATTTGCATGTGAGCATGGACCAAATGATGCGTTAAATGAATTTGACATGATTTTTACATGATCATTTAAACGACGGCATAAATCAACTCAGGCTCATCGGGAAAGCATGCTTCACTGTGAAAGAAAAAAAAAAGTTGCCACCTAAATTAAGTCATTTCAACTTAAATTACATTAAATTGACTTAAATAACCAGAGTTGAATCTTGTATAACTTAATTGGGTTCAGATTTTAGCGCCACACACTGAATATTTCACTTTTAAAGAGTCATGAAACAAGGTCCCTATGTTTTTCCAATGAGCCATAATACTTGCAGATAACAAGCATTACATTTTACATTCACGGACGGCACACAAGAGACGAATGGAGGGACTGACATCTGAGACAATGGGAAATGTACACGGGCAGGACATTCACATACTTGACTTGATGCAACAATGTCACCCTGCACATTGGCCTACTGATATTAGTTGCAGCCTTGAGTAACTCAATTGTAATGGGCATGTAGCCGAGGACAAAAGCGATTCTTGGGGACCTAAAATTTCTAAAATAGCACATGCACAGAAGCTGACAGCTCACAAAACTTCCTCCATTTCATGAAGACAGAATTAGTGATAGTGCATGAGTCTCAAACCGGCTTACCTTCCCTATAACATACGCACAGGGTGAAAAGAGAAGAAGAAAAAAGGAAAAATGGTTGACTTTATGTTGGGTAATGAATTAAAAAGATGACACGTGAAATTACACTCTAAAAAATGCTGGGTTGTTTTAACCCAACTTTGGGTCAAATATGGACTAACCCAGCCGTTGGGTTAAATTTTTACATTACATTTTTAACCCAGCATTTTGGGTTTGTCCATATTTGACCCAAAATTGGGTTAAAACAACCCAGCATTTTTTAGAGTGTAAGATAGATATGAAAAATGTACGTTGTGTTATAGTATTCACTATTTATGCAGTATACAGTATGTGGTATACATACACTTGGTTAAAATATTTGGCAAAAGGACAAACTACAGCTACAGATTTTATTTCATATGTTTAAAAAATGTACACTCTAAACAATGCTGGGTTGTTTTAACCCAAAATTGGGTAAAATATGGACAAACCCAAATGTTGGGTTAAAAATGTAATTTAAAATTTTAACCCAACTTCAACTTTCACTTTCATCTGTACATTTTTAACATTTGGGTTTGTCCATATTTGACCCAAATTTGGGTTAAAATAACCCAGGATTTAAAAAAAACAAAAACTGCTGGGTTGTTTGAACCCAAATTTGGGTCAAATATGGACAAACCCAAATGTTGGGTTAAAAATGCATTTAAAAAATTTACAGTTGAAAGTTGAGAAATTACATTTTTAACCTAACATTTGGGTTCGTCCATATTTTACCCAAATTTGGGTTCGAACAACCCAGCATTGTTTAAAACAGTTAAAAAGCAATGGCGTTATACGTACTGCACTTCCTCCTCCACCACTTCCTCTGTGTCCGCCATGACTAAGTGATTCCTGATGAAGTAAATAAGTTATGCATGTCAAATGAGTTCAGTTCATTTGCACTTCTTTTACTATAACAGCAGAACAGTCTTCTTGACATGGTCTACAAATCATCTTTAAAATTCTTCTACAAGTGACCCTGATCCCAGAGACAAACATGATGTTCAACCATATAGGGTTTATATACCGTGCCTAACAAGCGTTGAGAGAGCTGCAGACGTGTGTGTCCACCGGGAAATAAATCACTGCACAATAAACATGTGATGAATGAGTGAGGGTGGCTATTTTTGCCCGTAATAAACTATGCGATATGGAACAGGTGCTCCACACTTTTCCAGACAATGAATTGGCTGGTCTCATCAAGAGCTGCCGCTCATTCTCTGAGTAAATCAAGAGTGCATGTGTCCTTGTCATCTATTTTTAAAACACATTGTTTGCGCAGGACATTATTCCACAGCACCTACTGACATTAAAGACCCATCTAGTTTTTTTAATGCAACTCTTTATGATTACAGTATGTGCACTGGCCCAAAAGGGTATGTCAAAATACACTCTTAAAAATAAAGGTTCTTTATGAGAACCTTTAATATCCATGGAACCTTTCCATTCAACAAAAGTTTCTTTATGAAGTCGGATAAAGGTTCTTTGGATTATTAAAATGCTTTCTGAAAAATGGTTCTTCATTTCTGCAAAAACCCAATTTGGGGAATCTTTGTTGTTAAGAGTATATACATTGTTGATTTTTTTAAATGTAATATAATACACAAGCACACTTTTTAAGCAAAATATATGAAAAAAAAGTTTTCTGAGGTATATTTAAGGGTATTTTTTATTTAAATAAAATAATAATAAACTATAAACAGATACAATAAAATAATAAACAGATACACTTAAACAGAAGTGAGTTTATGGAAATGTACAATGTAAAAAAAATATTTTATATAAAATATATATTTTCAAAACCTAGGCTACTCTAAAACTGCAGAAAAATCAAAGCCAAAAAATCTGAAGTGTTCAAAATTTTAGGTTGATATCTCTAAAAAATGAGCTTTCAGTCAGAATTTATTTGGGCGCAGTACCGAACGCTTCCACTAGGGCACAACTAGGGCTCTGCCCATATGAGGGCGCCGACATTTCCAACTGTTTTGAGTGATCCGAACCATCATTTACACAATTTTCATACAATTTATGAAGTAGAGATCCTATTCAAAAGTAGTATGGGAAGTTTGGCAAATTTTGATATTAATTCAACCTCTAAGAATCATAAAAAGAACACGTATGCGCGTTACGTAGCTTCATGCCACATCACAAATGGTGAATTTATTATTTTTTGTAATATTTAAAACATTTTCAGACCTTTTTTTCCTAAAACAATTGAACGGATGCAATCTTTTGAACTCTTGGCATAAAAAACAAACTGAGGTTTCTACCTTTTTTTCATGATTTTTCATGTTCATTTCATGCTATTTCAAAATAAAAGTCTGGACACGCTTTTATGAGTATGAAAATATTTTTGTTGCAAATTGAAAAAATTACGGCTCCTGTGTATTTTATTTTGAAAATACACCAAATATGGAAACTAGAAATTGTAAGCTTTCAAATGATATATAGTTTGTCAATATTACTTAAGGTCTTTTTTAAGATATTTTTGTTTTAAAAATATAATGGCAAGCGTCCCTGACGGTGACTGACGGTAAAAGTTTTGGCTTTTTAATTTCAGCACACCAGTGCCTTGGAGTATTTCATCTTGAAAAAAACAAACAAACAAACAAACAAAAAAGATATGTTCAAAATTGAGACATAAATTGGAACATGTTGATGCTTAATGTCATGAATAACATGACATTAAGAATAACATGACATGTGGGAACTTGAGGAGAACCGACTTCATACACCCACAAAAAAAAAAAAAAAAAAAAAAAAAACTAGTTAATTTAGTTATGCTTTGGCAACATTTGACACCACTTGTCTTGGTTTGATTTTTGCTTTTATTGCAATGAAATCCGTGCATATTAAAGTAACCAAATAGCTCCTGAAAGTTCAAAGGTCATCCAATTATCAAGTCTAATTCTATCCATCTTGTCTGAGCGTCCTCCAACTAATGGCTCTTCGGAGATCATCTCGGATAAAGGTTTATCTTACATCGAGTCCTTGTGATAATGAGAGTGTAACAGAAGCACTGAGCGCAGCTTCTCTGACCAAATCCAGCAAGTCTTTGAAGCAGATTAACTGTCTCACTTTGGAGTTACGTGCGTTTTACGTTAATAAGCGAGGGCCAGTCGTACTCCTTCTGAAAGGCTGGAGTATCACAGGCAGGAATGTTGCCATTGATAGTCTGTATTAAGCAGCATTAAGAGAAAAACCCAAAGCACGCAAACCACCAGTCCCTCTGGCGAACAAGACAAGCATTGCATTGATGACTGAGGAATGAAGAGGGTGATCCTCAGGCCTGAGCTCACACATTATGCACAACTTTGCACAATAAATTTAATCCAGTAGGCATGAGTAGATTTTAGTTACAAATTAACTAATGCCATTTGGATCCAATAACAAAATCTGAAGCCTCTTACCTGAGATCTCACCAAGAAGAGAGAGAGAGAGAGAGGGGTGTTATCTCGATGGTCCAGGCAGCAGACAGTTTCAAACTAACCCAAAGCTCACCTAATACAGACCTGCCAGATCATGTGACCGCACTGCTTTGCTCTGATTGGCTGCTGGAACTCAGCCTATTGTTAGAGGTAGTGGAGCATGACAGAGATATATGGCTTTAGTCTGATGCACACACACACACATCACAGGTGTTTTTCATTGGTCTCTTTATTGTAGTCACTGAGAATGATACAATGTTGCTCTGTATGGAACTATTGGCTACAAATGGTCATATTTGTAACAAGGTAATTGCATTTAAAGGTGGTGCGACTTGCATAGTGTTACTCTGAAACAATACATGGGTGCTTACAAATAGTAAAAAACTTGATTGTCAAAAAATACACGTAGAATACAGGAACATTTAGAGACATTAGCGTTAAGCTACAGCGGATATTCTCTGTCAGAAATGATGCCGTTTAAATGATGAAGTTACTAAACTAGCGCTGTACTCAAAGCAAACAACATTTTATTATGAATCAATTGCAGCACAGAGAGAAGACACTCAAAAAATGAAACGCTTATAAACATGAATTGACTTTGACTATATGCTTGTCCTCTTTTTCCTTGCTGAAATCATGATGTGTTTCTGGATTAACCAAGGTCTTGCTTTATATGCAGAAATTGTGAAATGTGTGAATTAAGCCAAAAAAGTGCATGTTCCCTTTCTTTCGAGTTCTCGTTTCATCCAATACCGATTATTCCACATGATTAACACTTACAAAAAGATGGTCAAACAACTTCAGACCAGTGTTTCCAAGAGTACAAAAAGCCAAAGATAATGTAATAATGATAACGGTAGGACTATAATGGAATTAAAACTTGCTTTGATATAAAATACTATTGAAAGCAAAAGCAAAGACCATTTTGTATCAAGCAGTAATTAGTTAATTACAAAAAAACAAAAAAAACAAAAACGTACACTATATGCTAACATATATTATTAAGACATTTTTTTGTATTATTTTTTATAACAAAAAGTAGGTCTACAAAATACAGCTACTCTACGGGTGCTCATGTTCAGTCTTGAACTGGCGAACATGTATGAAATGAAGAAGGGTGAAGCTTTGCTTTAGTTATAAATTAACAGGTGAGAAGGGTAAATAACATGCGTAATATGCTTTGTGATTTGACAAAAGACAATTCGGATTGCTACTCCTCGTCCTCCTATCCAAGGAATCTTGTAATGTTTTGAGCTGTTATATAATTGTTATATAATCTTAATTACTAGTTTTCACAGATTTCAGTTTAACAGAAAGTAAACGCAACTGCGTTTGTGTTATGATGGTGGCCTGTGAATACAGTGATAAAAAATATATTTATATATATTTTTACATTTTTCTCTTTTATACCATGTCTACACACAGATCTTCCTGACAGTATAAAATGCTCATGTGTGTGTGTGTGTTTTTTTTTTTTTTTTTTGTTTTTTGGTATTAATAAAAGTTTAAAAAAGGAATGTTTGTGCATTCTCTTGGTCCCTGCCTCTCCGGCGTCTTTGAAGGGTTAATGGCCCGTTCCTGTTAAGAGACAAAAGAGAAAAGTCATGAAATTGCTTGAAAATAAATGAGATGACACACACTTTAATTCAATTTTTTACTAGGTTGTTTGAGGTCAGTACATTTAAAAAAAAAAAAAATGTTTTAATAAATTAAAAATGAAAAATGCTGGGTTGTTTTTGGGTCAAGAATTTGGGTCAAATATGGACAAACCGAAATGTTAGGTTAAAAATGCAATAAAATTTACCGTTGAAAGTGAAAGTTGAAGTTGGTTTAATTTGAAATGACATTTTTAACCCAACATTTGGTTTTGTCCATATTTTACTCAAATTTGGCTTCAAACAACCCAGCATTGTTTAGAGTGTACGGCAAGGATGGATTAAATTGATGCAAGTGACAAAGACATTTATAATATTTGTATTTCAAATATTTTTTTTAAAACTTTCTAATCACCATATTCCAGAAAAAATAAGCATCATAGTTTACAGAAAAATATTAAGCAGCAAATCATCATATTAGAAAGATTTCTGAAGGATCATGTGACACTGAAGACAGGAGTATCGATGCTAAAAAAAAAAATCAATAAAAATATATTAAACAGAAAATGGTTATTTTAAATTTAAATACTTTTTCCACAATATTTCAGTTTTTACTGTATTTACTTTTAATTAAAAAAATATCAGCCTTCACTCTAAACAATACTGGGTTGTTTGAACCCAATTTTGGGTAAAATATGGACAAACGCAAATGTTGGGTTAAAATTAAATTTCCAATTGTAACCCAACCTCAACATTTTTTAATTGCATTTTTTAACCCAACATTTGGGTTTGTCCATATTTCACCCAAATTTGGGTTGAAACAACCCAGTATTTTGTAAAATGCACCCAGAGTGTTTTTGTAATTCATATACGTAGAACTGAAATAAGTAGATCTCACGTATGTCAAATATGACCCAAAATTAAATGTATAAAATGATAATTGTCCAACATGATTATTGCCTGTTATTTATGGGATCTGGGCCACTTCTTTGCCCCTTAGAAGAAGGGTTAAATGTTTGTTACGCTTTTCATTCAGCCAAGATTATGGGACAATTCAAAATCGTTGTATGCTTAGCTGTGTGTATTTATAACACACACCCTTTCTCTTCTCCTCCAGAGCTAAATAAAGTTTAAAAAGTCTCTTAAATGCAAGCTGGCCATGTGTTTGACCATTTTTAAGTGGTTGGAGGGACGTACGTTTTCATCCGGCATGCGAGTGTGCTAATCTGCCGCCCCATGCAGTAATGTGACAAACATGCAGCTTTGGCCCTGCTGGCACTGACAGACGCCCATAATCCACAGTGTGATATTGAGACGAGCAGGCCGACGTGGGCTAACGCAAAGACCTGTCGCCCATTACCCCAAAAATGCCCGGCATGCCCGAAGGCCACCGCGTCTCTTTTAGAGGAACAAATGGCCACCATTCAAAATAGAAAACAATGCCAAAGAGGCATTTTAAAAGACTTCAGCCAGGGAACGACGTGCCTGCAGCCATGATTTATCATTGGAAGGGCTTCCTGCCAGAGGGATTGTGGGTGTTGTGAAATATGGAGAGACTTGCCCTTCACCGTAGGACTTCATTTTGACCTCATGTTGGCTTGGATGCATAGACACATGCGCAATAAAACTTACACTGTGTGCTAACCAACCTATTTTTGTTGTTATTTGTTATCTAAACCCTAAAAGCAAAATCTCTTTCAAGTAAATCCACTTTTTTTTCCCTCAATCTCTGTGCCACCAGGCCATCTTGACGATCGCTTGGTTGTTTCACACTGTTTTCAGAAGCAGAAATCGTCATAGTTGGGAGAACTCTAATGGTGCTGAACGCTAGCTAAAACAAATATAATTTTTGTGTTCCTGTTTGCTCCAGTTGAAAAAAAAAAAAAATAAAGTAAAAAAAAATTATTTAACACAAAGTATAGTGTTATAAATAAAATGAAAACATAAAAAACTTTGCTGGATTTATGCCGTTGATAACTGGAAATGTGTCATCACAAAAAAGGCTTGGTAGCCCCGCCCACTGTGTAATCTCATTGGTCCAAAACCTAGCTCTCAATAGACGTGTTTGATGCATCAAATCCATTCTAATTGGCCGTGATTGAGTCACATTGCGCAGCAGTTACTGTTCCACAAATTGCTTTTCGTTGGAAAATGGAAATGGGACACGGTTTTACACAAACACAATTTATCTTCTTGTCACTTACCATTGGTGACGGATTTGGTCTCTCCTCTGCTTGCGTCCTGGGTAAAGAAAGATGGAAAAAGAGAGAAAGAGAAAGAAACACAGAAAACGACAGAATGAGATTAACATAAATAAAAGCTAATGTGCTAATCAGTGTGGCAGGGTCCCTCCCAGCCCATCCGTCTGGTACTCCACTTATGCCTTCACATTTCATTTTACATTTCCTTTTTAACATGTTTTTTGTGCGCCGATGTGCTCCAAAAAGTCATCAGTGAAAGCACTTGTGGCCGTCATGCTGCGTGTACAGTGACAGGAACATGCTTAGCATGGTTTCAAACAGCACTCTTTTTCCAGATTCACATACACATTCTTTCCACTCCTGACCAAACTGCACTGCTGGTTTTGGTAACATCAGCGCGGTTCTGACCACAGATTTCCCTTCATTAGGCTTTTTACGTCACCATTTACCAGTCCTTTAAGTGCTCTGGGCCAAAACTGCAATCTGTGGCACACCGCGGCCTTGGCCTGATCTTGACGCCTCGCTGACAGTCCAGCAGAAGCTTCTATTGTGCCCGTTCCAAAGATAGAGCCGCCCGCTCTGAATGACTACCGTTATTATCTATTTGATCTGTGGATATAAAAATATGAAGGCCAGCGCTCGTGGGAATGCCTTTTCAAGTTCAGACGATGGGATCGTCTGGAATTGGTTTCTATTCGTGATGTGAATAAACCGCCATGTTTGGTCAACTGCATCCCAGTCATGCCAGCATTAAAATAGATCTTTTCACAATAGGCAGAGTCCTTTGTAATGGGGTGATGGTAATAAAAAAAAAACAACGAATGAAAGAGAGAGGGAAGGTGAAAATGATCCTACGCTAAGCTCCGCCCTAATTACCAACCAGACGAGCTTTGGCTCTTTAATGTACTTTTTTTTACATTATTAAAGGGATAGTTCACATTGAAATTCATTTTTGGTATGTTTTAGGGCATCCACGATGTAAGTGTCTATTTTTCCGCAGTAGATTCAATTTTGATATTTTTAGGTCAAACCGTTCTTGTCTGTCAGTCATATAATGGAGGTCTATGGTCACCACCTCCAAGTCCAAATTAAACATGATTTAATGACTCGTAAATGTAAGTACACATTGATGGCCTAAGACACGAAACGAGCGACTTGTGTGAGAAAACAAACAGTATTTATATATCGTTTTTACCTCTTTTAACCACAGCCACGTCCAAAGTGACGGAAGTGATCTCTTGCGCGGTTGCGAAAAAAAAAATCAATAAAAAAAATCAACGTTGTCTGTTGATATATCGAAATCGTCTTCCATTGCAATTTCCTGTATATCTAAATATGTTTAGATCTTCACAGTGAAGGGTAACACTTCTGAAATCTCTGTGTAACGTACACGCGCGAGAGATCATCTCCGGGGC